CAGAGTTCATGGGCGTGGTTACTAAGACCCTGAAAGACCACGACACTAAGATTAGGAGAGCCGAAGCAGAGTACCACAGGGGTCAGAGCATTGTTGAAAGATTCAATAAGACCTTAGCCGAGCGCCTCTTTGGGTACCAGTATTGGAAAGAGCTGGAAGATCCCTCCAAACGCAACAGGGAATGGACTCAGAGGCTCCCCCAAGTCGTCGCGGCTTTGAACAACGAGGCGGCCAGGGCYACGGGAATAAAACCCAAGGATGCCATAAAAAAGAAACACGTGGAACACAAGTCCTACGTCAGAAGTTCGAGGGAGGTCTTCCCCCAGGAAAAGAGATTAGGCGATGTCACGGTTCGATATCTCTATGAGCCGGGTGAATTAGAAGGAGGATCCAAAAGAGCTACGGATCCTAATTGGTCTTTGGAAACTTACCAGATCCGAAGCGTAATAGCTAAGAAGGGTCAGCCCATCTTGTATTATCTTCATGATGGCCCCACGCGTGGGTTCGTCAAAGAAGAACTGCTTATCGTGTGATTACCAAACGCGTGCGTGTAAATTCCGTCGTCGCACATCCAGCGCTTGCCGTCGAATGCTGACAGCGACACCTTCTCTTGGGTGACGTTGTGTATTTGGTGGCCATACGATCGTAAGGAGTTCATGTTATGGCGCTGCGTCTTTTGGGTATTCAAGACATCTAAGTAAGATTGGTGCGTAAGTTGCTTCTTAACTACGTACTTTTTTACGCCTTTTGCCTTCTTATCTGCGCCGTCGCTCTTTAAGACGCTGTACATCTTTGGCTTTAACCCAACGTACTCTACAATTGGTCTGCCAAGCACCTCATCCTTCATCTTTCCTATGACTTTCTTGTTCTTAGCTGAGTAAAGTGGGTGGTCTTTTGGGTAGTTGGACGTGTCGTATTCGTCAATGTCTTCAAGGCAGTCCGCGTAAACGTCGGGGGTTTCAATCTCCATTATTAGYGAGTCTGTGTCGGTGTACAATAAACGACACTTGTCACCGTACTTTGGTTTTAACTTGTCGTAGTAAAACTCATACATGAGCAACTTAGACAGCTCTAACACTGTGAAGCCGGTGTAAACGGGCTTATTTAAGAAGAGATTGGCTTTCTTCATGTGAATTACATAGAAGTTAAGCATGTCTACGTAGCGTACAAAGCCTGGCTGGGATACATAAGACTCAGCCTCTTCGCGCGTATTTACAATCTTTATCGACACCCGCTTGCGGATGTTCTCCATTGTCTTACCMAACACTGAGTTGTTCATAAGCTTAAACAGGTTCTTCTCAAAGTCGTTCTTGGCTGCTGTGCGCTTTTGCGTGTTAAAGTCTATGTAAGGCTGYATCCAGGGCTCTTGGCGAAACTTTAACTCGCGGTGGACCTTTGTCACACGCATTCCGTGGCGCACGTAAAATTGTAAGTTACGATTGGTGAATCTTCGTTATACTTAGCTAGGTTCGCTAATGAGTCTGCCATGAATTGTTGGGAATCTAAGAACTTTAACTTACCAATTGTCACGGACATGTACCGCTCCTTGTTATTCGGTATGCACTTAACTTCGTGGCCGTCAACGCCTTGTAAGAGAAGGTGGGAATCGTATCCGCGAAGGTTGTGAAAGAATRCTGGAATATCCATGTTTGAGTCAATCTTGTTGCGGCATCTCCAATGCGTTGCGCCTTTGTACGCCCCGGTTAGTTCACAGTGGTCTAAGACTTTATCTACGTAGAAGTCTTCCTCGAAGGGCTTTTTACAGTGAATGCAGTGCGTGGTTGGCTTTCCAGCCTTCTCACCCTTGCGTGCGTACTTCCCGCACTTGGGGTGTGCTTCACCAAGGTAGGCGCCGTCGTCTGACCAGCACTTCTTAACTCTCCGTCCAAATTGGAGGAGATTATGCTTACAAACGTGGCACGTCATTGACTTTGCGTACGCGGCCTGCTCGGCCTTGGATAGCTTTGGTTGCTTTGTGGTGCGTAAGCGCTGTCTAATGTCCTCTTCCTCCTCCTTAATGGCTTCTAGGAAGAGTGCGGCCGCATTCTTACCGCGGTATATAACTGGGTCGTCTGCTTTACCGTCGCTGCGCACTACAACGTAACCGTAAGAGCAAATCTCGTGAAGGCCTTTACGCTGCGTATTACCTGATTCTTGGTATTCATCCGTGATTATTGCCTCAAAGTCTGCATAAATAACGTAGGGAACTYTGCTTTGCCGCTTGAAATCCTCGTAAAACAAGTCTTTTTCTGCTGGCATTTGAATGCGCTGTGCAACTTCCTCTACGCCACGGCAGATTTCGTCGTGCTTCTTTAAAGCTTTTAAGTCAGGAAATGGGAGTAGGCAGGACTCGCAGAAGAACTTCTTACACTTATGCTTGGTATGTCTGTAAAATAATCGACTTAAATTCTTAACCCAGGAATAGTGACCGCCGTGGTAGAATAGGTGAATGCGCTCTCCGGTGTGCTTTGACAACATTAGTGGGACAATGGTCTCTTCCCGGTCTCCATAAACGTTTATTGCTAGGTCGTTGCGCTCCTCAAAGTCTGGTATACAACTTAACTGCATTGGAAAGGAAACGTCAGTCCAATCTAGGTCGTCTGTTGGGTAATTACTCGTGCGCGCTGTGTTTTTCTCAACTGGGTATAAGGCAGACCTAATTGCCCACTGGAAGCATTTRTTGTCGTCATTCTTAACACTTACAATTGCTTTCTTTCGCTCTATCCAGGCTGGTAAAGGTACGTAAGACCCACCTCGAATTGGTACGTACCGCGCCATGCTTATTTTCATCTCCACTATTTCGGTTACTGCCCATCCCGATCCTTCTCTGGTGTAGTTTGAGAGTGTCTCTA